TCACCCTATCTCTCCTCATCTCTTTTACGAACCCTCCACTTCAGCCTAAACCCTCCGAGAATTGCCCAACACCACAGTAACCACACAAACACGCGCGCCGACCTTTAGCCAAACACCACGACGGCCCTACCCACCGCAGCGAAGATGCCGGCCAAGCACCCGCAAGCCACCGCTTGACCACGCGTCTTAGCCCACGCCAGTCCCAAAACACGCCAAACCTAAACGCTCAATTTCGCTAACCGGGCACCGCGCGCTCGCGTCTGTCTCCTGAAAAAGGGCTATGACGCATGCATGGCCAGCCACCACCAGCCCAGTCCAGAAGCAGCACCCCTGGGTATCGATAGTGCGATCGACAGGGGAGCAGGGTAAGCCGTTGCTGCGCATTTTGTATTAAAACTGGAGCGCAGGCCTGGCGTGTGCGGCTCGTCAAGGGGCGCAGATGAAGATGTTCACTCGCTCCAAACCTGGTGCTGCAACCCATTTCGTCATTCCGCGGGGACAAAGTTGGTAATGAGTGGGTTTTATTCGTGGATGCCTTGATGTGCGGCTGGCATCACTGGGTAGGATCGATGTGCTGGCATGTTGATCCGTGGGGAAGTGTGAGATTTTCTTTGATGTGCTGACGACGAGATGAGTTCCCGCTCAGGGTCGATGATCTCACACTCAAAATACACCTAGTCGACGATCTGATGCTTGGATGTTGGGGCGCGATGCTTACTGAGAGATTGTCTGCTATATTCGTCCGTCCGCCTTTACGCCCAAGACTCGAGGCGGAGGTAAGTCCTTAGACAAGTCTCTCAACGTTTGGTGAGATTGCAGCACTGATACTTGATGATCTCTCTCGATGATACTTTTGCTTTTGCTCAGCCACTACAGCCTTGATACAAGGTTCATTCCGTTTTGAGCTATCGAACCTGGTCCAAAAGTCGTTGAGATTCGATTTCGATTCCCGGTGCTATAGTGCTCCGAGGTATGGAGTGGGCCGCGCGCTATACAACAGCTGGGATACTTAGTGCTGCCCGGGCGTGCCTGCACACCTCAGTGTCAGCCTGGTCCAGCATCACAAGGACTGTGGCCAGGCGTGGTATACATGTTTGTTTTCAGGAGAATGTTGAAAAGGCTGAAGCTCTAGGTAGGAATGCAACTGTTTGGCATCAGACGCTGACGGAGAGGCTTGCCTATGTACGCGATATCTTACATGCAACATAGATGTATGCATTGTGCCACGTCCTCTCTGAATCATACTCAGCACTCCTCGGAACAGACGTATACATCATCTTATATCGTGCATACATTGCATCATACATTATACTCGGAACGCCTACATACCCTTCTATTGCGTCAGTCTACGAACCCGCGGAGACCAAGTACATCCTCATCATCAGATACGCTGCTGTTGAGCGGGGCTCTCATCTAAGCTTCTGTTGCTGCTCCGAAAGCTTTCATGTACATGACACTGGTGTAGATGACTTCGCGGAATGACAGGCGCAATGGATACGTCCAGGGACGTTTTACCAAGCTACTCACGGTGCGAATCTCGTCGTTGTAGACCTCAATAGTTGTACGTGAACGAGATTAATCAAGGGGACGCAATGCAATATATGGCCGGGTCGCATACCCTTGAACTGCAATTTGATGTGAGATGTGCCAGTCTCACTACTCTACTGCACGAAGACGCTCGTTCTGAAAGGGTTGTACGCGTTACCAAGAGACGCTCTGATGGATACATTGCCGTTAGATAGACACTACTGTAAGCAATGGCCCTGTTGAATGCCTCCACGGCAGCGTCAGAAGGTACAACTCATAAATTCAGCATCCTCGTAGCCCGCAAAATCGTTCTTCAAACTCCACGTCTACCAGTCTCTCCATCTCCAGCCTACAACTTACTCTTCTTCCCGCCCTTAACCCCCGTAACACTCTCCCCACTAAGCATGAAATCAGGATACTCGAACCCACCCGCAAAGCCCGCGGTATGCCACGCGCCACCATCCACAACAAGCGTCTCGCCGTTAACAAAGTTACCCGCATCCGAGAACAAATAGACAGTAGCATCAGCAATCTCCTTGACAGCTCCAAAGCGACCAGACGGCACGGCCTTAGCCACCTTACTCTTAGCATCCGACTTGGACAACCTCGCCATACCCTCAGTCTCAGCAATAGGTCCAGGAGCAATGATATTGGATGTGATGCCCCGGGGGCCTTGCTCAATAGCCACAGACATGGCCATGGCGTCTACACCTGCTTTCGCGACCGAGACGTGTGACTGCATCGGTGTACCTGTGTAATGCAGCGTAGCGCTCACAAAGATAATCCGCCCACCCGTCCCATTAACCGGCAACGTCGTCCCATCCGTCCTATACCTCCCCGCCGACTCCTTAAGATACGGCAGCGTCGCCTTGACCGTATTATAACTCCCCAGCACATCGATGTCGATAACGCTCTTCATCGCATTCGGACTGATCTGGTCGATGGTCGCGAGGAAATTGCCGGCTGCGCCTGCGATGACAAAGTCGAGGCTCCCGAGTTCGCGGGCGCACCGGTCGGCGGCGCCTTGCAAAAGTTCGGGTTTGCGCACGTCGATGGCGCCGATGCCGAGGACGCGGGCGCCGGGGCGCGCGGTTGCGATGTCTTTGGCCATGTTTTCGGTCTTCTCGACGTTGCGCCCGATTATGCAGGCGTTGGCGCCCAGGGCGACCATGGCGCGGACTTGGGCCGAGCAGATTGTGCCGGCGCCGCCGGTGCAGAAGACGACTTTGTTGTCTGGGGTGGTTTGTTAGCTTTTGGGCCGGAGGTTGAGCTGTTCGGACATTGGTTATACGCCAACTCTGTCTATCCACACCTACTGTGGGGAAAGAAGACGTACCGAAGATGCCATCCCTCCAGACATTGCTCATAAACTGGTACTTCTCCATAGGCATGGTGCGCGGTGTTTTCCAGGCGGGTTCTGTGCTATCGGGGTCGTCGGACTGGAAGCGAGCAGGACTGGCGGTGGTGAGTGAGCAAGTGACGACGTTGGGAGTTATCGTTCGAGCGGATGTACAAATATGGAGTGGAGTATAAGTAGCTGAGGTTGCTCACGTCGTGTGAAAGTTACGGCCGCAAGCCCCGGCTGATGCGTGCAGGATACGCGTTGGTGTTGTAAGCCGAGGTACGACTGGCAAGATTACTCTCTTGATGCTTGCGATCCGCCCTGGGCGATACATTGCGCGCATCGAATGCATTTTATAAGTTTGGAAGACAGTGCAGAGTATGTACGGTAAGGAGCGTCCTGACAATGAATCAACATCTTTCTTTCTATAGGCCGTGTGGCCTATGATTACTGATTGACATGTGCTCTTCTCCGCATTCTGGGAAGGGGAAGCTTGGGCCATTGCGATTTCTCCGAAAGATGACAGCCTGCTCCGGATGATGCCCGCAGCATCTCCGCAATCTTCCAAGCGCTGCATGCACGTCAACCTGCATTGCCAACAGATAACTCCACGACAAAGAACCCGCGCGATAGACAGAGCAATCCGTTCTCCCAAAACCCTCTCGGTACCATCACAATGGCCGCCCAAACAGTCTCAATATGTAAATTCGTCGGAACAATCACCCTGGGAATCGCAACTGTAAGTCACCAACCCGCCACTTCCCTTCTCCAAGCTCCCCGCTTGAAAGCTATCAGAGCTACAGCCCTCCCCTCCCTATACCAACCCCCTCAACAAACACAAGAGATACCATACCAATTCTAACACCCCCTCAGGGCGTCTCAGCAACCGTCTCGACCATCGCCCTCCCCTCCCTCCTCGCCCTCCCCACCGCCATAAACGCCCGCACCTCCCTAATCTACCTCACCACCAAATCCACAAACCTATCCTCCTACCTCCGCCACATAACAACCTTCACCCTCTTCTCCGCCTACTGTCTCTCGCCCGCCCGCTTCCGCCACCCGTATCTGCTGTACACATCTATTTTCTCGTTTGTGTCTGGACCCGGTGTTGACTATGCGGTTGGTCTGACCGAGGGCGGCAATGAGAAGAGGCAGGTTATGGAGTTGGAGGCGCAGGGCGATGAGGTGAATGGCGAGCAGGTGCGCTTGGCGGTTGAGCGGAAGCAGGTGGTTGAGTGGGTTAAGACGGGGTTGGCGGGCGTGGCGTTTGCGATGCAGGTTGTTGGGCTGTGGGGGGATGGCGCGTAGAGGACAGTCATGTCATGAGGGTGGATGGAAGAGCGTAGGAGTCTGTGTGTAGGATCATGGCGATTGATGGAGATTGGTGGGGGATATACGATACTGGTGTTCTCTGAGTTTGGAGTAGGAGATGTGGATTGCTGTTGGTGTACTGTATGGTTTTGACTCTCCTTTCCTCGTTTGGGTGCTGGATACATACACATTTTTTGTTAGCGACTATTATTATATCCCTCTCAATTCTTCTGAACAGACGAACATTGCAATGTGCATTGGAAGCGCGTGAATGTCTAGAGCGTGTAAGAGGCATCGAGCTAGAGACATCGAGTGGACGACCGGGTTGATCACGTATACCATGATCTGGAGGCAAAGGTATGCTGGTATCTTGAATGTGATTCATGTTGCTATGATTGAGTATGTAAGAAAGATGGCTCGATGATGAGAAACTTTTGCGCAAGATAGACCGAACCCAGAAAGTGGGCTCACAGTCGCCTGCTGAATAGAAGAAAATAAATAGCTAAACTAATTGCTGCTGTCGCTGAGAGAATAAATCGTGAACGCTAGAAGGAAAGCAAGAAGCACACGCCCTAAATTATACTTCGCATACGCCTGCACGGCGATCGCGGCGTGGTTCCAAAGTGAAAGACTAGCATGCAGCATGGCTCCGACTTTTGTCTAACAGAGAGCCTGAAGTAGAGAAAGGATGATATGGATCCGTGAACGTCCCACTGAAGCGTAGACAGATTACCGAATTTGTGGTAACCTTGGTTGACAAGTAGGTGATCCAAAGTTGGTCCTGGAGGTACACGCCAGATCCTGTGTTGTCGAGATAATCTCAAGACTGCTCGATTCTCATGCGCTTCGTCTTGGAATCATCGTCTCGTTTTGTGCTGCGCTTCGGAACTTGAGCGGGCTTCTTCGATTTCATCACCCTATCGTAGATCTCGGGGAAGGTCGCGTCATCCACATTCAAGTCGGCGTAGTTGGCGAACTTGGATGGCGAAGCGCCGTCTTCCTCCTTCACGCGCTGTGGGAAGAGGCTCTGTATCTGATGAAGTTCGTCCTGGAGGTGTGGGAGTAGCTCTTTCAGATCGGCACGGATAGCTCTTCCGTGCTCGCTGATCTGATAGTCGAGCATCTTCCGACCTCGAAGGTGTTCAGCAAATTCTGATAGTATGTCGTTGATGATCTCAAAGTGTTTGTCGACCAGAGCTTCGGTGTCTCTATCGAATTTTGCCTGAAGCTTTTGGAAGGCGTGCTCAACGAATTGGACTTTCGAACCAGAGAAGTGTGACTTCATACGGTTCTTCTGGAACTGAAATCGTCCTGGCTTCTCGTAAACCTTCTTCTGCTTCCTTCCCGGAACTGGCGGCTTCAATTTTGGCGCAGCGTCATGGATGTCGTCATACCATTCGTTGGTGATAGAGCCAACGAGGTTGTTCTCTCTGCCATCTTTCATGATAGCCCAGTCTGAAGCGCGCTTCGTCAGTCGCTGAACATCAGTCACCAGCACCATCATATCGGTTTTGATCTTTTCCGGATAGCTGTTCTTGTCGTTATGCCACTTAGTCTTAGCCTTTTCCACTGTGACCATGTTGCCACCAGCATCGTCGAGTTCGTTGATTACGCGCCGATGGAGTTGGTCGATAGCTTTGCAGAATGCTTCTTCCATATGTGCCATGAATGAAGCATGAGTATTTGCCCACTTGGAGATACCTGGAGTCAGGATATCTGAAAGCTCTTTGTCCAAGTTGCGACCAGTCTGAGGGCTTTTGGCGTACGACTTCCCGTCTGGAAGGACACCTTTTCCTTTCATGGCTCTGTTGAAGGCGGCAAATTTCAACTTGCACCACTCCTCCACCTTCATGTTGATGCGATTCTGGAGAGCGGGTATGTCTGCTCTTAGCTTTTTCATGCTCTTGTCTGATGAGTCGCGGAAGACCTCCACCACTCCAGTTTTCCAAGGTACCATAAACTTCTGTCCCACTACCTCGAACGCGTCGGCGATCGTGACGAACCCACCCTCATGAATGTCTTCCCTGACTGTTCGTATGATCTTCTCAATCACGGCTGGCGCTGTGATGAAGACATGGTTCTCGTAATCTTGCATGTTCTGAGGTGCTGTGAGAGCAAGGAGCTCTCTGCGGAGTTGGGGTATACCCGTCTCTTCGACCGAGAAATCAGGCTGGTCCTTGAACGTGAATTTTGGTTTCTCCAACCATTCCATGTATTGCGCTGCCGAGGTGTGGATGAGCGGGGGAAGTGTGCTTGCCGATCGTCCCTGCAGTTTTTCTCCAATAGTTCTCGATAGCCTCTGTGCACGTTCTGCTACCCTGTGTTGCTTATCACAACGTTTCAGATGGCTCAAACGCTTTTCGAGCTGATTGCGTTTCATGACTTGTGCAAAGTTCTCTTCTTCATCTTCGTCATCGTCTATTGACGCTAGCATTTCCTGGGTTTCTCGAACTAGACGATTGATTGTGCGATATGGCTCACGGTCGTCCTGACCTTGTTGATTGTCAGAGATACTCTGCATACGTTAGTCACGGCTTCGTAGCAAGAACCAAAGTCTTACATCAATATTGGTTGCAACTAAGCGCACATTCGCTGCGCCATGCAGATTGATCGCAGTGCGTGCTTGCTGGATAAACATCTCGTCAGATTCAATACGCGCCGTGTTGCATACAACGACTTCGACTTGCACGCTGTCGCGGATCTCATCAGCATGTCGGGCTCTCTGACGATTGGAATCACCACAACCTGTAAGACATTAGCTTGAGCTGACAGAATGTTCGTTTTCTTGAAGTCTCCTTACCGGGTAGATCAATCAACTCCAGCCCCTGTTCGAGCCATTGATTGTAAAAGCTGATCATGACATGGTCGACCAAAGGCCATAGACATTTTTCCCCCTCGACTTGTGACATGAAGCGAATCATCTGACTCAGGAGCTGATGTTGATCACTCCCCATCATGTATGCAATACTATCACTGTCGACATTCGCGAACTCGATGGCTTCCTTGAACTTTAGCTGGCAAAGCCGTACGAACGCTCCACTCTTGAACACAGATGGGCTCCAGCTTTCCAGGAAACTTTGCTTTGATCCCCATAGGGCCACTAGGATGTCTTCCGCCGTGTCCTTGAGTGCTTCGAGCTTTGACTGGTCGGGAGCTTCTTCGGATTCAGGATCATCCTCATCTTCGGAGTCTTCTTCGGCGTGGTGGAAGTAGTAGTAGTGGCGGCATAGCTCCTTGAACATAGCTTCGAGCTTCTTCGTCTTGAGGAACCTAGTCTGACCATGAAACTTCGTTGGGCCATCTTTGCCTTCTGCATAGTTCTTGTACCTGATAGCTGTGCTTGTACAAGCCTTGCCGGAGGCACCAGTGGGAGAAGCGCCTTCGAGACTGAAGAAAGCGCATAATAGCGTGCTCTTCCCTGCAGCTTGAGAACCAATGAATGCCACTTGCATAGCAGGGCTTCTCTTGACCTGAGAAACCGATTGCGCGGCTTTCTCTACGTGGTCGAGTTCTTTGTCGTCGTAAGGGAACTTGCCCAGACATACGATGATCCTTTGCCCAAACTCTTTCAGCCTGGTATCGATAATGGCTCGAGGCAATCTTGACCAAGGTGTATCAGGCATATCCTCGATGGCGGCATTATAGCGCTTTGGTGGTTTTTGAGTCTTGAGCCATGCGTTGAACTCTTCCAGAGTGGCGAAGAGTAAAGACGCCATGGCCTGGACTTGTAGAGGTGAGCTTGCTTGCGGTGTTGGAACTGGATTGGGTCCACACTGCTGTTGTTAGCATTTGTAGTAGATGTAACAGGACCAGTACTTACCCGTCTCTAATGGAAGCGATGGAAAGAGAGTGTAAGGATGAAGAAGGTTGAGATAGGAAAGATTAGTTTTATATGAGACAAAGGTGGTGAGGGTGACCCCGTGACGATAGGCAGAGCGAATTGCGGTAAGAGACAGAGAAACAGCGAGTAATTGAAGGAGCTGACGTGTTAACAATAATTACAGGCAGCTTTCATCTCGGACGTGAGATTAAGGAAGCTGACGAAGTACGCAGAGAGTGAGAGATTGGCGAATATGTAGCGACTCTTTGTAGGAATGGACCATAGTAAAGGTAGCAATAGAAGCAATGTCTTAGCCAAATAGAAGGATCCGTTGTCAGCTGTTCAGAGCCCATAGCTAAGCCGGTTGTTTCGTGAGGTGGGTATAGTGCAGAGGCAATCTCAAAGCGCAGGTTTTCAGCCCTGGTATAGGTATCAACCACAACAGACGTCTCAGCCAGACTCGACGGTCCTCGTCGCCGTGACATCATGTTTGAGCATAATGACACGTGCCAGTTCCCAGGACATGGATGATCTCATGACGATGACGAGCATCCTAGAAGCCAGTATAGATCTGGTAAAGCAGCAAGTCGAAAGCATAGAGCGCAAGCTAGACACGCGCACCTCGCGACGCGTCTGGACGCGGGGTAAACGATTACCCAAGAAGGGCGGGAAGATGCCAGAGACGATTGCTGCGGCGGTCGTATGTTGGGCTCGGTGGCGCCATATGTTCGCACGATAGCATTTTGCGAACGGGAGTGTTGGGTCAGCGTTGGGGAGAAGCGGAGTTCCAGGGTCCGCGCGAGATGCCTTAGCGCGATCATCTGATAGGCTAGTTCACTTGCGGAAACCACCCACTGGTCGCCTGCAGCAAACAGCTTGAACACCCTCGTGCACTTCTGAACTATGACATTTCTTCGCCATCTGAAATATTCGTACATCGCCAATATGAGGTATCCTGGAGGTGTTCGTAGGTTTCCTGTCAGCACCCAGAATTTAGCGCGAACTATCCCCCAGCGCGACGTCCACATCGGCCCCACACTTCATATTTCGCGATCCTCAATACCCATGTATGCTTCTGGGTAACGACGCGCACTGCATGATACGATGAATTCTCGCGTTCGGTGCACGTCTTGGAGCATGCCAGATGCGGTCACAACGTCTGTATACCACCTGGCCAGTGTCTGTACCAGCTGAAGCTTCGAAGAGTCCGTCTGATCATCGGTCTCGGTGTAAGCCGGATGGATTTATACTTCCATGCGCGTTCATTCCATGTCAGCTAGCCTATCTCAAGCCTAGTCGGCGGATCATCTTCTGAAACGCGACGCGACGCGTCCGTGATGCGGTTGATATGTCGTCCCTCGTGCTTCCCCTTCGAACACAACGTGTCCTCTGCAAAGACATTCGTCCATGAGCAAGCATGGCACATATGGTACCCAGTTCTCCTTTCGCGAGCACTCCTGATTCAGATGTTATCATAGCCCCCGAACACTCTCACGCGGCACACGACAACATCATGAGCTCGCCTCCACGCTCACGTTCTTCAACCCCAGGCTTGAACGACTACGCCGACGAAGTTATTCCCGGAGGCGACCGGTGCCTCAAATGCAATGCCCAGGGGCATTGGGTCCAGGATTGTCCATTAGCAACTTGCTTCCATTGTCGAGAGAGGGGTCACATCATGGATGACTGCCCGGACAAGGCCAACATACAGTGCTACGGATGCAGCGGCTTTGGACATCTTCGCAAAGAATGCCCGAAAGATGAATATAATGCTAGTAGCATCACGGTACAAGGAGAATTGCGTGAGACACGTCGAATACTACAAAACACGCAAGAACAGCTACGGCGTGCGCAGCAGGAGATTGGCCTGCTGAGCGAAGACTTGAGGGAAGCAAACGATAAGCATGAACGCTGGCGCAAATTCGCACAGGGCAACACATTGGATCCCTATGAAGCACTTAAAATGCAAGGACTGCACAAAAGTAACTCGCTTACTGATTTCTTAGATGTTGCTCTATGGTACTGACGAGAACAATCAGATTTACGATACACCCAACTACGCACGGTTGACCCCCATGCAGCGGAAGCGCAACTGAAGGTCTATGAGCAATACGTACGGGATACCTTCAATCAAAGGCCAGATACTCTTAGCCGTACGATCAAAATACTCGTACACGACATCGACTTCATCACGATCAAGGAGAGCGATGGTGACTTGAGATGGAGATATGACGCAGCCTTCGTTCTCGCGAGGCAAATATATGAAGCACTGCTTATGTACGGCTACGGCAGGACCCCATTAGATTTTCCCATGTGCTTGGCACTGCAAGCCGCCGATACCCAACTGAGTCTCATCATCGAGGAGATGCTTGAGAAATCCGGAGGCGAAGTGGATTTGAGAGACGCTCGTGATAATCTCGCGGCAGAGCAGAAACACCTTAAGCGAATTCACGGTATCACGGAATACTACCCGGGTACCACAGGGTTGCTAGCTAGAACAGCGTATTAGACGGATCGGATAGTTCAATGAATAGATAAGCTCAAGCCTGCGAAGAAATAGGTTGCGACGGACCTCTCGATATCAGGCACACCTTTTCTGTACTGCTAGTCTTGGAGATAACTATTCATGTAAGCTTTTGTGGCATCTTACACACTGATAACAATTATCCACGATGCGTTTCAGTGTTCCCCGTACAGACATAAAACTGAACAGATCTGCAGCCTACACTAAGATAGAGACATGCAAATCAGATGGCCTAAAGTCAATGTAGGCTTGAAATTGTTCATCCTTCCCCTCGAATAGGATGACTGCACACTGATGTCTTGGATCTAGAGCCACCGAGGCTTGGATTTCGTCAGGGCTGGGTCGTCTCATCATTGCGCATCATCGTTGTAATCAGAACGACCTAGAATCTGTTGGAAGAGAACTTTTGCACACTCCCCAAGTCAACACGTCACTGAATTGACCCTTTTGATATGTGCCACCCTGGATTGGTTGTTGTGGTGGGGTCTGTTGGTGATGGTTTCATGGTACGTTCCTCGCTAATGGTTCTCAACACTGCCAAATTTTTCTTTCTCCGATTAGCTGTCTCATACTTTCTCACTACTTTCATCAGCTGCTCTCGATCGACCTACACCTTCACTGCTCCTGCCTCAACGACAACGACCTACGCAGACACTCGACATGGCCCCTCCTTGTTACGACCCTAGTTGTAAGATAGAATCTCACATTTGCTACAGCTGTGGGGAGCATGGTCATCAAGGACACATGAGCGAGGATTGTCCTCAAATATCACGAAAGAAGCGCAAGTCTGACTCGAGCGACGAGTTGAGCCGTGCGAGCATGTCGACAAACGCGGACGAGAATACCGAACTGGTAGAAAAAGAGTGTGAAGAGTTGAAAGCGAAGTGCAAGGATTTGGAGGGGAAGAATCGGGAGTTGCAGTGGCAGTTGCAGTGGGCGAAGAAGGATTCGGAGGAGAGAATGAGTGAGGCTGAAAGAAAGTATGAGTTACTAGAGAGAAGTCACGAGATGTTAAAGAAGGAGACTACCGGGGACAAGGATTTAAAGCAGAGGAACTGTAACTTGGAAGGCGAGATTGAGGCTGTGGAAAGGGAGAACGAGGAGTTGGGGAAGAAGTTTGGGACATTGAAGGGGACAGTCCTGAGCTTGCTTTCTTAAAAGGAGATTCAGAGACGTTGATCTACCGGTGCGTCTTTCCCAATCCTCTATCAAGACGATAACTTACAAAGGCGACATATTTAGCATGCATCATCTTCAATACCCCCGCTCCAAACCCAGACAAAACGCGACTCCGCTATCCGAGTTCGAATACGCGCGCACGAACGGCAGCCATTCCGGCTTATACAAAAAGACAAAAAAACAAAATTCACACATGAAGTGCCGCGATGTAGAAGCCTTCCGCATATTCCGGCAAACATGCGACGGTTCCAGTCGGAGACTTTTCCACAAGCTCATCAAAATGGCAAAGAGCAGAGCGAAGAGAGTTGGTGTGGTGAAAAAGACCAAAACTTTCACGTTTACCAAGTCCGTACTATATCACAAGCAATACCATCCTTGCAAACCATCTTTTAAAACCAGGAAATGTCCGACACATCGCTTGATCTAAGAGCTTGCCTAGATACTCTCGTCGAGGAAGCAGTAGAAGCAAGCAGTGAGACCGTGAACACCGACGAGCGCTACGTACAACCCAGGTGAAGCCGACCACGCCACCACTCCACTCAATCTCATCTTCTTTCACTATCATTCTATCTCATTCAATTCCAAGATTAGTCATCAAATACATTTCCAGGGCATGTGGTCTAGACTCAACAGAACAGAGTATGGCAAGGCGCCCGTAAAGCCGTTGAACTTGCTTCAGGTAAGGGAATGTGCAGGGAGACGCGGATTCGAGTTTCGCCATGTCCAACTCATTATCTTTCTTTTTGCCGCTCTTTCTGCTCTGGCAACAGTGCTGTTTGTATACTTGCTTAGGAAGATATATTTTTGCCAAAGTAGTGGTGACGCAGAAGTCTACTTCACCTCAGCGTGCAATGGTGGAGTCGCTATCTTGGGACTAGGAGACGACAAGATCTTTTCGTGTTAGATGTTTCATGGATATAGCGTATGTTGAAGTATACGTTACCTTCGGTAATACTTGTTCGATAGCATTTGATAGTGTGTATTTAGAAAAGGGCGGCCTAGCTTCCGTCATTCCCTAGTAACGTCCACTGTCTTCGTTCCAAGCCAACCCACCAGCCCAGCTTTTGTCCGCATCTCCGCCATCGATACCTTGACCCTTTGTTACTGCAACACCTTATCTCACTTCTCCAGCGCGCCCGTATAAACGAAGGCCATTTTCACAGTAACAGTTACCTTGCGTGACCCAGCAATTTCCTTGCTAGACTCACTCCTTTCGTTCGCGTAGAGGCTATGGAACATCTCAATCAGCCTGAGCTCCTCTCCATGGACCAATGCGAGTGAAACATTGTGTTTTATATGCAATGCGTGAGGCGCGAAGCAGTTCTGGCAGAGACGTGCGAGAGTCTTCATATTTATATACTGTGCGGTATCGGTGTCACAGCCCTGAGTATCACAGATCCGCCGGTGGAGGGCGGTATGAAGGTCAGCGAGACTGAACGTGGCCTGTGAGTGAATTCCAATGGCCATCCTTAGGGTGCTTGGAGCGAGTGCGATGATATACGATTACAGCGTTAGTCCGAAAGCTGTTACTCTGAGCGTCTCTCACTTACCTCTTTCCACTCAAACATTTGAGATACCAAGTCCATTGCCATTCTGTTGACTCTTCTCCACGTTAAGACAGTAGCAACATCCATGTGCAAGACAATCTGCTGTTGCAACTCGACCGGAAGCCGAGAGAGTAGACCTAGATTAGGCGCAGTGGTGTAGTCTAGTCCGATGGCGTGATGGGCATCGTCGAGGAGACAATGACAAGCAAGGAGATAGGGATGAAGAACGCCGTGAATAATGTTTGCTTCGCGTCCATGAATACATATGTTGTTGGCCGCCGACATGACAGTTTACTTGGCTGGAAATGATTGTTGTGGTGAGGTGTAGGCGTCCGGGTGTGAAGAACAACAAATGTAGAAGACTGAGCGGACCTTTGACCAAGACTAGCGCAAGTGTAATGCGATTATCATGTGACAAAAGAAGTGGAACAGGCTCTGTCGCGCGCTGGTGTTAGCTTAAGTAGACGGTTCATTGTAGTGGTTATCGTTGATGCCTATGACGCTTGGAATACTGCAAGATCATTAGTCACAAGAACCTATGTTGTCAATACGTATTTAATGAACAAGCAAAGATGTACACAGATGTCAAGACTGGCATCTGCTGCGTATATTTCGAATAATGGGGTCGTATTCCCATAGCTTGTAGGATGCATCAAAATCGCGGTTTTCGTCGGATTAGAGCTAGCGATTAATGACCTGGAGCCTTTTGTGCCTGGAGAAATCTTACCACGGATAGCATAACATATAGGCAGCATCTTAATTTCTGTGCGTGGATTTGATGCAAAAAGAATGTCAATGGAGAGAAGACCGCATGTGTAAGATAGAGTGAATTGATAGCTGCGCAAGGCAAAAAAGGGCAAAAAAGAAATGATCAATCTAGCTGCTCTCGGTTTCGATCCGAGGTCCTCCGGGTTATGAGCCCGGCGCGCTTCCGCTGCGCCAAGCAGCTTTTGTGGTTGATTGGTTGATGGAAGAATTACAAATCCAATAGAATATCATCGCACATGAGAAACTGACGGGTTCGCAATGCACTGCACCATCACAATCAATTCTCCAAACTTTTCTGTGGGAGTTCATGCAAGCTGTGGAACGTAGCGTGAAGATTCTGCTCTGACTCACAAAGAAGCGACTGGTTGTGGAGATCCCTTGCTAAAACCCAACACCCCAACACCCCAACTAAACCCTACCTAGGTACCAACAAAATCACAAAGCCCAACCCACCGGACGCCGCGCTAATCTAGATAGCCGAACCTTACACCTGAAACCTTGCACCAAAATACACTCATAATCGTGACCATAACCATAATCCTACACAACCCCCTCACCTCGAAAACGCACCCTCAGCATCATCCCCCAGTCCCCTAAACGCAATCCTCCCATTACTCCTCAACACCTCACAAACCGTCTCCGCACTCAACTCATACCCACTCTTCCGCCAGCGCGCATTAAGCCAATCCGCCAACGCATCCGCACTACAGCTAAACCTTCTCGTATCCCACTCATGCAGAATCAAATCAACAATAGGCTGATCCGGCAACGGCTCCGGATGCGGATCCTGCAGCGGCACCGAACTCAACGGCATGGGTAGTGCGCGCGGCGGAAAGATGTTTTCGTAGGCGGTCAGGAAGTGGAGGAGGGTGTGTTCGGTGTGGGGGCGCGAGGCGAGGGTTATGCCGAAGGGTTGGCCGTTTAGTTTGAGCGCGGATAAGGGACAGGCGGCTGTGGGGTAGCCGGCTGCGGCTGCGAGGGCGGAGAGGGGGGCGTCGCCGGGGGCGACGATGAGGTCAAGGGAAAGGGTTGTGAAGAGGTAGTCGAGGCCTTCGGGACCGCCGGCGGTTTGGAGGTGTTGGCGTGCGGCGTTTACTTCTTCGCGTTTGGTTGTGGATTGCAGGGCGGCCATTAGGTCGTTTTGGTCGGGGCAGGCTGGGAAGTGTTAGTAAGAGGAGGGAGTTTGGTGGGTTGGAGGGCACGTACTGGGTGGCAGGCAGAGTTCGGGGTGGTCGAGGTTGAAGTTGATGATTTCGGCCAGCGAGTGCATCTTTGTGACTTTGAAGTCGCGGATGAACTCTGCTAGACAATCTTTGAACTCGGAGTCTGCGTTGTATCAGTATCAGTATACACCCAGCGCAATGGAGGAAGATACTAACAAACAACAGGCTCAAAGCAATTCTTGCCATCAATAGTCAAACTCGATTGGTTCGGCAACTCCACCGGATACACCACATCAACGCCCATCTCGATCATACTCTGAACAATCATATCGTATTTCTGCGTCTGCACCATGTCAGCACTGCATAGCCCAACACAACACCAGCCCCTGCACCAAAACGTGCGTTCTATACTTCCATATGTACGCAGAGGTAAGCGCTAACTCACCATGAATCGCTCGGCGTCAGCATTGATCCGCCCGCTTTTACGCCACGCCTTCCAAATACTCGGCTCGCAGATACCGATGCGGAGCGTCCCGAAATCCGGCTTGATCTTGAACGACCTGTGTGGACTGCTTGCGTGTTCTTCGCGGTTGGTGGGAACCATCATGGCGTCCATTAGCGCTACGAGGTCTTTTGCTGATTTGGCCTATGGTACCGTCAGTGCTGAGAGTACGAGCTGACGCATCCGCGTGTGCTTACCATGCCGCCGACGGCGTCGAATGTCTTGCTTAGGTTGAAGATGCCGTCCATTGGGATCTGCCCAGCTGTGGGTTTCAGAGCGTAGAGCGCGGCTCGGTTTGCGGGTGTGATTAACGATCCGATGGTGTCTGTTCCGATCGCAAGGGTGCTGAAACCTGAGGCTACTGCGACTGCGGATCCAGTTGATGATCCTCCTGGTGCGGAAAGCTCCCAGTGTAGCTTCCTTTTCGCGATGTGTCTTGAGACGTACGGCGACTGACACTGTCCACCCACTGCTGACCATCCTGGAGGCATTGAAGGATTCTTGAGACCGCAAAACTCAGTCAGATTCGATTTTCCGATGATGATCATGCCGCGCTTGACCAATCGTTCGACAATTGTTGCGCTTTTCTTGGGTATGCATCCTACGAAAGCGTACGATCCTGCACAGCAGTAAGTCACTGGCCTGAATCCAAGTTAACTATCCACATACCAACTGTGGTATCCATGCCTAGCTTCTCATCGGTCATGATGTTATCTTTCAATACTATCGGGATACCATGTAGTGGGCCTCTTATCTTGCCTCTTGCCCGCTCATCGTCCAGCTTCCTAGCCATCTTGATCACTTCATGCTTTGGCGCGACCGAAATCAATGCACGTAATTGTCTTCCTCTTCTGTTGTGCTGTTCAATTTCCTTCAAATACAACCGCACAATCTGCACACTTGTGAGGGCTTGTGCATTCATGAGTTCAGAAAGCTCAAAGGCCGAAATCGTAAGCGGATCAAAGTCTGGCAGCCATGCATCGTCGGCCGAAGATGTGA